CCTCCGGCGTACCTGGTCGGCAAGGACCTCCTGAATAGCCTCTATGTCTAGGAGATGTTGAATCGCCGAACTCATTAACAACCGCCTCTGGGACTTACTAGAAACCGGACATTGAGGGAATGAACTAGGGGGGGTGGGAGATGAACTCCAAGGTCAGATCAAACCTGACCGTGACCTTAACCCATGTGTCAGAAGTTGTGGACTCCCACTGGTCTGCCAAATGTTGCACTCCCCCCAATGGGAGTCTGAGCCTGGATCAGTCTAAGGTTTGTGGTAGTATCAGTTACCGTCCCCCCTGAAAGGGTCTTTTGGACTGATCCCTCTCGGCTGCCGATACTGCTGTTGGTTCCGGGAGCATTGGTCGAATCCGCCTTGTTGGCGAAACCCTGATGGGGAATAATCAGACTGCCTGAAAGACACCCCCCCCATAATCCTGGGCTCCGAACTGCTGGCATCTAGGGTAGGATGTGGACTGGATAAAACCCTTCTTAGAGTTAGAGGGCAGGATCTTATGCTTATCCTTGCCTTCGATCAATAATGGATTAAGCGAGTCCCTGAAGAGGTTCCCTCTTATATGGTTCAGATGCCAGGCGCCACTTGTGCTTGACATCCAATTGCCATTGGCGCAGCCACAGAAGCCTCCGCGAGGCCACCGAGGAAGCCATGGCCTTGGATGCGAATCTGGTAGCACTCAGTATGGCATCCGCGGTGAATTGTATGGCCGCAACTATTTTGTTGAGTCCTGGTGGGCTCGTGAATCGCCTGCTGGGATGCGCTCCTGCAGCTGCTGGAGCCAAAAGGCTGGAGCGGGAAAAGAAGGATGTGGCCATAGAGGCCCACAGTGTCCAAGCCGCTGCTTGGTGACCCCGCTGGAGGACTTGGTTGGCCTTTCTGTCCTCCGGCTTAAGGATGATTTCCTGTGCTCTGGGATGCATGGTATTCGAATGTAGTGCTGCAATAGGGATATCGACGTTAGGCCACAAGAGAGATTTGTTGAGAGTATCAGCAACGTTATCAACCCGTCTGTCGTTGGCAGAAGGAGCCAGTCCAGATTTTTTTGTCACCCACTGCCTCTGCAACATGTTGATGAATAATTAGCAATAGCAGTTAGACTTATATACCGCTTCATAGGGCTTTCAGCCCTCTCTAAGCGGTTTACAGAGTCAGCATATTGCCCCCAACAACAATCCGGGTCCTCATTTTACCCACCTCGGAAGGATGGAAGGATGGAAGGCTGAGTCAACCCTGAGCGGTGAGATTTGAACAGCCGAACTGCAGAACTGCAGTCAGCTGAAGCAGCCTGCAGTGCTGCATTTAACCACTGCGCCACCTCGGCTCTAATTGAGGAGCCGGGATGGTATCAACTTCCATCTTATGCTCCGTAAAGAGCACATTGGCCGTTGGAGGTTGCACCTGGGCAGCAGTGGCTTCCACCAGAACCCCGAAATCTGAGGAGGCCTTAGCCTTAGTTAATGATGGCTTATATAGAGCATGGGGGAAAAGTCCTGCACACGTGGGCTTTTCAGGAACTGTCTTCCTCGCCAGAAAGATCAACATCCCTGATTTCCCCCTCCTCTAAGACGGGGGAAGGGCTGAGGTTCTGTTCGGTCGGAGACAAGTGGGTAAGTGTCTGTAGGTGCCCCTGCTCATGGTGTGACCCCCTCCCCGGTTGCGCTCCCTGAGATTTCTCCGGGAGGCCGGCCGCAATGCCCTGCCTGATGGCCTCGGCAAGGAAATCTTGGATGCTTGAAGTCATTGCTGGGATAACCAACCGCCGGCGTGACTGTCCATAGCTCTTTAGGTCTAAGGCCAGCTGTGGTTGGTGTAAAGGTGGCCTCTGCTGGCCTGCCCAATGATCTGGGGGCTGCGCTGCCCCAAAGCCCGGAGGTATTTATTGGCAGCATCGGGCTAAAGGGCCCTGAGAGATCTCCAGATGAAGAGGTTGCACAGGAGTAGGGCGGCCCGCTGGGGTGGGCAACTTGTTCTAGTGCTGATGCGCAGTTTCCGATTCCTCCCGATGACAGGATTTGGAGCCTGATCTGGAGGCCTTCTTGGGTTTGGACTCCTTGCTGAAGGAAGAAGATGAGGCCTTGCTGCAGGATTTTCCTCCTGAAGGGGCCTGAGGTGACAAGCGCCTGGGAGGGGAAGGCACCGATTGCCCCAGTATGAGAAGGCCAGGCTCAGTTTCAGAATTGCCTTTGGCAGCGCCCACCACAAGTTCTTGCCCGCTGCTGTCCGCCATTGCCTCTGTCGTGCTCTCCAGTCATTCAAAATGGCGGCTACTACTAGAACGGGACTTCTCCCACAGTCAAAATGGCATTCGCACCCTTTTTAAGGTGGTCCGGGCCTGTTGAGGTGACGCCTCGCCTGAGCCATTGACCATTCCGCAGCCTGGACAGCCGATGGCGAGGATCTTGTCATCCACTTGAATTCCCAGTGCCGGAGAATTCGCGGGGCCCTCACACGCGTCTAGGCAGCAGTTTGGGCGAGCGCGGCAGCAAGATGACCGAATGCTTCGGTAGGTCGTAAATGACAGAAGCCCCGCAGCAGCTTCTGCGGCTGGCTGCCAAGAAAACGCCCGCTCATCTTCTCCCAAAGGGAAACCTCACTGAGGCAAGAGGCACACTGGTAAGAGATATACAAATTGCACGCAAGCCTGTGGGCTGAAGCCCTTTAGCTAGAAAATGGGTGCCTCAGAATTGTCAGTTCAGGAGTACTCACAGCCCTTACAATGATTGCTCTGTAATTGTAATAATTTCTATTGTTGAAAGAGTTAGCAGAAGAAAGGTTGGACAACCCGATCGTCCCAGAGTGGACTGAGTCAGAAACTGAGTAGAGTCACACCAGGAGGGGGTTATAAAGCTCACTAATTAATTAGTAATCAGACTCAGTCCAATCAGAATATAGACAGTGTCACCCCATACATGGATGCTATCTCTACCCTTATTCAGAATTCAAGGTTTTACATGACTCTGCAATTAGGCACACAGTTCATCTTTATTTAGCAAGCACGGTTGGGCCTGGCAATTTGGAAAGTGAAGTAGCTGCTATGAGAAAAATCCCACAACCACAACTGTGCTTATGAGTTTACTTCAGTTTTCTTTTGCTTTACCCCGTCAGAAGTATATGATCCCAAACAGTTGGATGAAGCCAAGTGATGGATATGTTTTCTGAAATTTGACTCATGAGTAAGTTGGGTTAAGGGGCAAATTCCTATAACCTTTTTTCCACACTCCCTGACCCTTTTGAATGCTAACCCTGGCACTGGAATAATTAGAAGAGAATTTATGTTTGTATTTACATTCATTGACAAGGAAGAGATTACAAGAGAGTAAGCAAGCACAAAATGGGAAACACACATTAAAGAATGCACCAGACTGAGCTGTATTGCCAAGCAAGCTACCAGGCTTAAGAGGCAAAAAAAAAAGCCTTAAGCGTGAAGGCTTTTAGAATAGATCCTCCAGGTGTAGTTTAGGTAGCAGCACAAGATGGCAAAAGGTTATAATCAATTAATTAAGCCGACAGAGCTGAGCTTGTTAATTTGTAGTTTATATTTTTCAGGGACACCTTGTGCTTTGGGAAAAAAGCAGTAAGGAAAAAAAAACTTGTTTAGGCAACCACTCCACTCTGTGAGAGGCGAGAAAGGGGACCAGGCACTGATTTTAATGGGAAACGTGACTCAGATATGTTGCAACGGTTATAATTGTGGGCATTAGTCACAAAATGACTTCATCAGCACTGTAACTGAACAATTGCTATCCAAGTCAATTGCTAAATGAGGACTACCTGTAGTAATAGATATGCAATGGCTATTTCATTGGATGAATACTTGTATATATACAAAATATACTTAAGGAAAACTTTTTTATCATTGATATATTACCTCAGACCTGTTTGCTAACTAAGCCGTATATTCTTACCTCTATTGAACTGGCTTTGCATGTACTAACTGCTGTGAGGATATGTTACATCCCTTATTGAAAAGGAAGTCTGATTCCCTCCATAGAATAATGGCTAAATTGATAATAGCAAGCCATGAATAGATGTATGTTTACATACTTGTGAATCTATAGAGCTTGCAAAGACCCTCCAGGTAATCAGTACTTGTACTTTCTGGTAAAAAAAAAACAAAGTTCAGGTAAATGTCAGCAAGACAGTGCTTTCTTGCCATTAACAGCACTTCATCCCATCCCTCAGTCTATGCCTGAACATAAGTTTATTCTCTCTTTTCATAAAAGGAATAATAAATATATACATCTATCCATTGCTTTCAAAATTCATAATACTAACAAGTGTGCTCTTCACTTGAACTACTCACTTGGACTACTCAATCATAACAATATTTTCTCATGAATTGTCAGACACTAGAAAGAATAAGCCAAAAGTCTTTTCCAGTAAGCACAAGGCAGTAATTGTTGTTTCTGAAGTGGCAGTGTTAAACCCACTGTCTTTCTTATCCATAGATACAGTGCTACCAACACAAGGATATTTCAGATTTACTTACCGTTGCAAGTTCTTACTTGCATCATAGAAATTGCAGCATAGATAACAGATTCTATTAAACTATTAAAATATGTAACTATCAAATTTGCATGTTTTTGTAGTTTTCTAAATAACAAATGTCTCCTCAGTTGTTTGCTTTAGTCATAACCCTATATATTATTATTATTAGATCTTGCACATGATCAACTTTCTGTGTATGTATGAACATTCCTGACTATGGAGTATTGTTCAAATATGGATTTCTGAATTAAAACTTACATATTAGAAGATATAATGAGACATATTCAAGGATAAATGATATTCTCCCAATGTTGCAGTTTTAATCTGCAGACAATAGCTGGCAATTAGAATTTGGCACATCTCTAAACATAAAAATTGTGGCAATTGTTATAAATTGCATAGGATAATTAGATCAAGAACTGCCAATTCAGCATTTTTACATAGTTCTTGTTGCAGATTAGAAATAAATAAACTAAAAGCTATTGCTTTCCTTACAGGTAAAGCCAGCCTCACATTGCAAGAAGCTCAGCTACAAATTTTTTCACTAGACACTTGTAATCGATATTACTGGCATGCAGGATCAGTACAAGATACTGCTTTCTGTGCTGGCTCTGAAACTGGAGATGTTGATACCTGTCAGGTAAATGGACCTAGATTTATCTCAAAATATGTTCACTTAATATCCAGTTAGGTTTACTAGATTAACAATTTGCAGATGCACTACAGCAGATAGGAAATTTTAGAAAAGAAAATTAAAATTGATGCAATTTTAGAATTCTATAAGTGGGATATTGGTGAATTGAGATAAAAGATCAATTACCACTGCTTTTGCTATTCTAGAGCCCAGCCAAATAATGCTTTCATTCTAATATAATCAGTGAGAGTTGACTAATTTATCCTACTGATTTCAATGCAAATAAACCAGGCATAATTTATGAAAACAATAAAATGTCTCTTCTTCAGTGGACTGCCTCTTGCAAATTAAATCTGTTAGAAAGACAAACTGTTCTCAGCCTACATTGGGCTCTACTGTGGGGACAGCATTTTCATACTTACTCAAGTCAGGAGGAATACACACTAATGTCACCATGAGGAAAAGCTATTTCTTTGTTCTCAGTTTGCCATAATGGAATGAGAACCATGAATGTCACTGAAGATACATGGCTGCTGTACATTCACTAGAAAACTAAATAAAAGGAGGGATAGCCTTTATGCATGCATGCTTTCAAATGCTAGAATCACTACTCATTGTTATCTTTTTCATTTTTCAGGGAGATAGTGGTGGACCTCTTGCATGCTATTTATCAGATTCTAAATATTACATTGTAGGAATCACCAGCTATGGCAAACTGAG